GGGTATAATTTATGTGTATAATTTATACACAACGAAGGCAATTTCTTCTGGTTGAGGTACGACATTACATGATATTCAGTTATTTATTATGAGTGGCCTCCGATGAGAAAACTTCCGAATTCAACGTTCCTTCTCGAAGAACATATTTTTCTGACCATTCATGTTATCACAATTAATATGCCAACAACTTCTGTGCAAATGAACTTCCTCGCATGTTAGGGAACAATATTGCATCTCATTTGAACATCACTCAGCTCTTGACGTTTGATCAGCTAACAAATATTCAAATGATTTATTCAATTATCAATTCGTTTGCTTATGAATATTTAACTGTCGTTTAATCATCAGCACCCTCAAAGCAACATCTCAATAGTTATTGGAATAGCTTGCCTGAATTCGAGAAAGACTGATTGATCGAGTCAACAGTGAAATTAATTAGTTGTCCAAAACGAAAACTTAACATTGCTTTTCGTTTTAAATAATTAATTGACGTGTCATTTCCTGAGTCCTTTGGGTGTACTTCATGAATATTCAGTTGAAATATTGTGTGTCCATTCATGGCACACCCAACAATAACAATGATGGATGGCATTGAGGAAGCTGACTAAAACTGAACTCAAAACATAATCACTATGTCGTTTATTCAAAAGAAACACAAATAATAATGATGACGATAATACCAACAAGCGAATACTTCGTCGTAAAATACTTCGTATTGGGAACGTGTTAAAGCGTCTAGCTATCCATGCATGGCGACAAAATGCTTGCAATGTATATAACATGAAAAATGACTAAATTTTTAATGCACGCAAGCAAATTTCATCTTTATCATAGTTGGCTGCAATGTCACAAGAATGTCTACAAAAACAGTTTGGTTTTATTGACGGCTAAAACAATCATTGAGATCAAAACAGCTAATAGTGACCAAAACGCTGTGAATGATACCACCATACACTGCAACTGGGCATGATTCCGACTTCTTAATGCTTCAGCTGAAAACGACTTCATGTTGTTACGGAACTAAAATCATCAGAAGTTTCATCATATCAAGAGAACCCCTTCATTACATTATCGGTTCACTGAAATGTTGTAATGACCAAATGATCATCTTATTCACGTTATTTTTATTATTTTTTGTAACCTGCACTGTTGATGATGGGGGGTGTTACTTCATGAGTGAATAATGGAAGAAACATATAGCAGTAAAAGTACTGAATTCTGAATAATTTGAAGGGTAGTGAAGCATTGGGAAATTGTTCGGACAGAATAAAATCTGTTTTTGAGGATAGGACTTGAATTTGTTCAGGATAGGACAAATGAAATGATTTCGTTTACCGAGGGTTTTTCTTTGTCTTCGTGTCGTAGTTTTCGCACTCTGAAATTCAATGAAGTGATCTACTTCAGAACTTATTAAAATACTTTCCTTACAAATGTCTAAGGGAACCTTTGCAATGAAAACTGCCAATCTTACTATGGATAATGACACAGAGTTATCTGTACATTTAAAAGCCTTAATTATCTTTAAGCAATGGACATTTTGCATTTTCATACAGCGTTTTTCAGTACTATTTATTGCTTCCGATAGGAATGACAGGAGCGGAACATTTTTCTCAGCAACCTTTCTAGTTAATAGTTTCCTCAGCAACCTCTTGATTGCTATGCACCATCGGATTCAGGAAATCACCTTATAGCCGTCGGAAAATGTCCATCGAGAATGTTCACATTAGTATTAAAGTTTCAGTTAATGCATCAACCTAACCTTTGATGATTTATTCTATTCGTATTTTGGAGTGGTGGCTACAATCTTTTTAGATATTTCCGAGTGCAGTTCTTAAGGGATAATTTGGAATTAATGATAAATGTGATAGAATGAAATCAATGAAAGCTTCATATTGCACTCAACACTTACAGATTTGAGCTCCTTATCTGTTCCTGTTGATTGCTGTTTATCGGAGAGTGTCGTTGAGGTGCCTGGAGTTGGAGGTAGTCCACCAGGAGAATCCGCAGGAGGAGGAGGGCGTTCGCTTACATCACCAGTACTAGAACCTAACGTCTCGTAATGATCAGCTTCATCCATTCGATGGGCATTCCAGTTTCAGTTGACAGATTCGAAAAGAAACTGGACGAAAAACAACCGCACAGTTCAATGTTTCGGTTGAGAGTAGTATAACTGAATGGGATTTGAAGCAGGCAAGGATTTTGGTCATTTTTGCATTAAAAAACATTGTAGAATTGATGCAAATTTCGTTAAGTTAAATGTTATTTTTTCGATTGTTCACTTTTTTGGATTCACTCTGCTTTTGAACTTCATGCTTGAGAACTTTATGTAAATGAGCGAGCATGCACTTATTGTTAGTATCTTGCGATTAGTCAAGTCAGTGATTTCAGATGGGTGAGGGTGTTACAACAATGACGAAAGCCATAATCTATGGATAAGCAAATCGTTTCGCTTGAATAATTCATGAGANAAATAACCAAGCAAAGGGTTTTAGCAGGTGATCATTCGTCAGCACTAGAGCAAATGTTTTAACAAGTCGATGTTCACATAGTTAGTAGGAAATAGTTAGATGCGATACATTTCTACTTATATCAATAGAAATTGTGAGCATTGAGGAAGTTTTTGGGGAAATTATTGCATAATTTCCTTATTGAATGTGTTTTTAGCGTAATTATCTGCTTAATGGTAGTATTTGAATGACTTTGGATGTTAAGAATTCATATTTTGCATGCTTCTCCTTGGTTTGTAGGGAGTTGATATGATTTGTTAAGCATTTATTGATACCACAAAGTCAACGCAAAGCAGAAATACTGACAAATGAAAAGCAAACATTGGAGAATACCAATTATGAGGGTTATATTTTCAGTTTAGTACTATCCAACATCGCTTCGTACTCTTCACATGAATAGATTCTGGGTGTAGGCTGAGGTATGAATTTGTGGCCTTCCAGTTTGAACGATTTCCGTTGTTGGTGATGCCTTATACGACCCACTTCGTTCAGACCTACTACTGGTGTAACACAAGCATCTACTCCTGTAATAACGATGTGATGAAGTATTATGTTAGTTACAACAATAGCAATAATGACACTAATGTTAAATAAATAAATATTAATTGTATGAATAATAGTAAGAATATAATAATAATAGTAAACAATGAGGCTAAAACAATGCGCACGGAAACATTGGAAGCGTTGTGGCCAGCAACGTTATAAACGTTTGATAGCCTGGCCGATCCAGGTAATCCAATTAATCCAGTAAACAATGTTCAGAGGACCGTGAAATCCAAAAATGTTTAGGAAATCTTCATGTGTTCGGGACTGTCTCATATAGTGGTACCATGAAAATGATTGCTGAACATATCAAAGTTGGTTTCTGCGTTAGTGACGTTCATTCATAAGACTGGATGGCAATTTTTGGCTTCAGATGAAAGATTTCATGTGAAGAGATTTTGGTAGAAGGAAAGAATATGAGAAGCTGGTTGATAAGACGGAACAGGCACAAAGGGTGATGGCGACGCACCTCTGAAAATTTCCATCCATTCTCTTCTGGTCTTCGTTTTGAAGACAGCTTCAAGCTTTTCGGTAACTTCGGCCGGTTTCGTCCATATATCACTCACTGGAATATTCACTTCCAAAACTGAAAATTCGTCAGTTTGTTCGCATACTTCTGCAATTCACAGATCTATTCCGGATGGTTTCGCAATGAAATGTCCACTGATTTTTGTGATTCAAACAGATGAATGCTTAATAATTTCAGACGAGTGATCAACTGCAACGGATATGAGAACAAAATGAAAAAATCGTTCAAATAGCAAACCTTGCAACATTTTTGTATGGAATCTCCTCTCCAACGCTGCAACGGCCATGAATTTCCCGTCAGAAGTTTCATAACATCTGAAAATGTCCTAATGTTAAATGCCATGCTAACATTCTGCTAATACGGTGGTATTGTAGATTAAAAAACTTTGATATATTGACTAGATTGAATAGATTAGCTAAATTATTGACTAAACTGAAGATCATCGGAATACGATCAATGATTAATCAAAGATGAAAAATGAACAAATCAAAAGTTAGCTTATGATAATGCAGGTAGGTAATCAAGCGTTCATGAAAAATGGTTCATTTATAACGGTCTGTTCTTAATCATTTCAGTTTACTGTTCTCTCAGTCAATTCATTAAAAAAATAACCTATAAACAGGACAATCACCCGAAAACCACGAATATGGCTTATTCCAAACGTTATCGATATCCTTGTAGATCGTTTGAAAACTTCCTAAATACGCTAAACCATCGACCATGCTCACATCGATTATTGAGCCTTTTCCACCTCAAACAAAAGCTTTTTATTGCGAACGATAATCGTTTGAAATAATTAGGTTACAAGTTTATTATAAGGTAATTTTGAGTCAGCGAATAAAACATTACATTTGAATAAAATCAGTGGTTCAAGACAGAAAACATAGAATGTTAAAGTGATAATCGATCCGGAAATTATCTTAGAGGACTCAAAATGGGTACTTCTTAAGAGAAATCTTTAAAGTACCATTGATTATTCTTTGATGAATTGCTGCGAGAATGCCGAATGCGGCCATCAGACTACCTCCGGCAAATCCGGCTAACATGTTTGCTGGAGTCCAGTAGGGAAAGCGTTTCACCGAGTGTCCTGCGAACGTTGGCATCAAACCTTCAAAATGATAATATCGGATGTATCAGAGTGATGTGTGATAACAATTTCATCGCATTGATCTATTAAGATCAACTGGAGAGCGACGTTTTTTGAGTGAAATTATTGCTTTCGAAGAATTTTCTGGTGAATGACTGAAGTAAATGATACTTTAAGAAGTGACTCCACTATATTGAAAGTGGATGAAATTCTTAATGGAATAACAGCATTGAAAGCAACTTACCACTCAGTGCCACATAATTTAATTCACGTCCAAACCGTTGTGCAAGCTCTCCGGTTTGTCCGAAACCCGTTATTCTTGCCACGATCAATTTTTCGTTCTCCTGTAACAACGACTCTCTAAAATGATCGGACACAAAAATGGGCTAATTTAGGCTTTTCATTTATATGTAAGGCTATTTCGGAGTGTTCCCAGTGGAGTGTGAGTATGAGAGATTACTGAGTGTTAGAATTGACCAAAGATTATGGAATGGCTAACTTTTAGCAATTCCAACGGA